AAAAAAAAAAAAAAAAGGCATATTTAATAACATTTCTTCAAAAGCTTAAAGTTCTTAAATAGCATTCGATTAAAAATTCCTTAATTAAAAAAAATACCAGCATTAACAAACCATTAAAGTTGGAAATGAGCATTTCAAAGTCTAGAAAACCTAAAGGTATTGTTTCAAGTTCAACACCATTAACCTTAGCATTTAAATTTCCCAGATTTTAAACGGAAAAAAGCATAGCTAATGCATTTTAGATATGCCTTCCTCAAACCTAACTGGTTATTTATAAAAACAGCCCTTAATTATTTCATATTTATTTTTGGTCCTGCCCCACTTCCTTCCTGCCAAAACCAAGTAGTTTGATATTCAAATACATGTCACTTCTCTGGAGTAACTAAGCCCAGTTCCCCCAGTCTTTCCTCACAAGTCATATCCCCCAGCCTCCTCACCATTTTTGTTGCTCTCTGCTGAACTCTCTCCAATTTGGCCACATCCTTTTTGTAGTAAGGGGCCCAAAACTGAACACAGTACTACAGATGTGGCTTCACCAGTGCTGAACAGGAGAGAATAATTACTTCTCTTGACATACTAGCAACACACCTACCAATGCAGCCCAGTATGCCGTTAGCCTTCTTGGCAATAAGGCCATACTGCTGGCTCATATTCAGCTTATTGTTCACTGTAACCCCCAGATCCTTTTCTGCAGAGCTGCTGTCCAGCCAGTCAGCCCCCAGACTGTATTGGTTCATGGGATTGTTCCGTCCTAAGTCCTCCTATTTGTCTAGGTCACTGAATCCTAGCCCTACCCCCCAGTCTATCCACTACTCCCCGCAGCATGGTGTCTTTTGCGAACTTGCTGAAGGTGTACTCTATGCTATCTTCCAGGTCACTGATTTCATAGACATTTATGCTGGAAGACTTTGAACAAAACTGGCCCCAAGACCAACCCCTGGAGCACTCCAGTTGATACTGGCTGCCAACTAGACATCAAGCCATTGATGACTACTCCAAGCCCAATGCTCCAGACAGTTTTCTATCCACCTTACAATCCATTTATCCAACCCATACTTCCTTAGCTTGCCTGCGAGAACATTGTGGGAGACCATATGAAAAGCCTTGCTAAAATCAAGGTACACCACATCCACCAGTCTCCCCATATTCACAGAGCTAGTCACCTCATCATAGAAGGCAATCAGATTGGTCAGGCACAACTTGCCCTTTGTGAATCCATGCTAACTGAACTGTTCCTAATCACCTTTTTCTCCTCCAAGTGCTTACAAATAGATTCATTGAGGACCCAGTCCATGATTTTTCCAGGGACTGAGGTGAGGTCAACTGGTCTGTAGTTCCTTGGATCCTCCTTCTTTCTTTTCTTAAAATATGGGCACTATGTTCTCCTTTTCCAATCATCCGGGACCTCTCCTGATCGTCATGAGTTTTCAAAGATGATGGCCAATGGCTCTACAATCTCATCAGCCAACTCCCTCAGCACCCTTGGGTGCATCCTATCCAGTCCCATGGACTTATACACATCCAGTTTTCTAAGTGGTCCCTAACCTGTTCTTTCACCACTGAGGGCTGCTCACCTCTCCAAACTGTGCTGCCTAGTACAGTTGTCTGGAAGCTGCCCTCGCCTGTGAAGATGGAGGCAAAAAAGGCATTGAGCACTTCTGCATTTTCTGTCACATGGTTGCCTTCCCCTTTCAGTAAGAGACTCTCATTTCCCTGATCCTCCTCTTGCTACCAACATCCTTATAGCAACTCTTCCTGTTACACTTCACATCCTTTTCTAGCTGCAACTCCAATAGCGCTATGGTCTTCCTGATTTCATCCCTACATGCCCATACAATACTCTTATATTCTTCCCTAGTTATTTCTTCAAGTTTCCACTTCTTTTAAACTGCCTTTTTGTAATTTAGTTTACTGAAGAGTTCCCTGCTAAACCAAGCTGGTTTTCTGCCATACTTGCTAGTTTTCCTGTGTGTTGGGATGGCTTGTTCCTGTACTCTAAGCAAGGCTTCCTTAAAGTACAGCTAGCTCTCCTACATGGCTCTTATACTTAAGTACAACTCCTCCTCCTCTTCTCCCTTGCCTGCCCTTCTTGAACAGTTTGTACCCAGTTTCTGGGTACAAGAAGAAACTTCTACCAGTTTCTTCTACAAACTAGGCTCCTGCTTCTACAGAATGGTTCCTGGCATTTAAATTTGTTTCTTTTCCTCAGTTTCATCTATTTGCTTAATTCTAAATTCTTACATTACAATAAAACTATTCTTTGACCTTAGTTAATCCCTCAGTTGATACAAAAATTAAATTTTCCTCATCAATTAATCCATCTAGGCAAATGCTCCATTCATTGCTAGTTTTTTATTTTGCCCATTTTCTTTTCAATGCCACTTTATAAACATGATTTCAGTGAATTCCCTTTCTGCAAGGAAGAATCTGATGAAGCTTGCAGGCACAGCTTATAAAAGCTAGACAGAGTACTATGTGGCTGTTTTTTACATAGTTCTTCACATGAAGCTAAGGATTTTTTCCACTTGTGGTTCTGCAGGAACCAGCCCTGATAGTAAAGAGTTCTATGAGTTTTCTGGAGCATCTACAGATTAATAGAACTTTAAGACTTTCTTGTATTTGGATACTGGATGGGAGAGAATAACAAAAGAGCAACTTTGTGCAGTCTATGCAGAGTCTTTATAGAATACAGTAGAATCAGATACTTCTCAAAATTAGGTTTCTTATTCCCCAACAAAGAATACGTGCTGCAAAGTGAGCAAGAATACACAGAGCTGCAGCAAACAGCTACCCACACAGGACTGCTGCGGTACTCAACTGAGCAGAGACACAGCTCTCTGAAAGAAAAAGATGCAGCCGATCTGTAATTTGGCAATCTGATGCAAATTAAGCTAGTTGCAAGCCACCTTGATACAAATGATCCTGCTTCCACTGTAAATGGAGATCAAGTGATCTATTTACAAGTGTTTTTGAACTGTAGTTAACACTTTAGATGTGGATTCAAGATTAGGCAAACTGTGTCAAGCAAGTTATGAATAAAAAGTATTTATATTAAAGATAAAGGCAAAAGTCATCCTCAGTAATAGTTCAGCACCATGGGAAATACAAATCTCATAGTTCTTCTACAATAATTATAGTTCACCTTCCAAGAGAGACTCAAAGAAGTACCTAATTTAGGAAGAGGCCAAAACTGAATACGAATCTTGCAGTCTGACTTCATGCAGGGATTTGGATCAAATGACCTTTGAGGTCCCTTTCTACCCTATGTTTCTGTGATCTATCACAAAACTAGAATTGAGGCTGTCACGGGGTGGGGCCTAGGAGCAGCCGTGATCCCACTAGCGCCCCCTTCCCGTGGCAATTAGGAGATCCAGCACCCTCTAATTCTC